GTTTACAGTGACCTTCGATGGGAGAAAAGAAAAAAGGTCATTATAGACAGGGAGTCACTGTGAACAGTCTCTACAGAATTTGGATATATGAACATATTTTGCCAATATTTTGTTGAAAAGCAGGAAAGTAACCATATATAGGGTTTATTTATATTTTAGTTGACAAAGGTACATTGTTTTCAACATCACTCATGATCTCAGCTTTTCTTTTACATAGGTTTTGAATCTGCGTTTGGCCAACGCCAAGCTGTTCAGCAATTTTATATGTCGCCATGTCCTTATCAAGTAATTTTATGGCATAACATTTCACTTTTATCGAAAGAAACTTTCTTTTCATCGCCATTGTAACCCACAATGCAATTCACATAGAACGAATAAAGATTCATTTGAGTTACGCACCTTGCAAAAGTCCCTTTGCATGGCTTATATACCATACCATCATGGTTATTGTAAGGACTAGACAGGAAGTCGCTACTTATAGACCATTTGTATAGTAAATACGGTTCGACGCACCTCACTATGGTCATTAAAGACAGAATGTCGCTATATACAGGGGTCACTAAGTCAGTCTTTACGGTATTCGGCAAGGACATTTAGTATCTTGTCATTGCTATTGTTTGTTGATTGGTTTGTATTTCGCGACATTGCTTTTCCTTTTAATTTTTCTGACAACTGTTCTTTAAAGATTTTCGCAACTCCATTTGTGGATTTTGAGTGTGTGTTCAATTCTGACCTTGAAGTTTTGGTTAGTTAAGTATCTGTTAGTTGTTGAGTTGTATCTTTTCCCCTGGTTTTAAGGTCTCCGCATATGGTATCTTTCTGTTGCACTGTCATAAGGGCGAAACACCAGTGAATTTGTGGAGACTGTAGAGAGCTTTAAACTAGAAGAATCACTTCTCAAGGGCAATTTGCTGGCTTTCGAGGCCTTCACCATACCTTCTTCTAATATCCCACCTGATTTACATGATTCAAAGAAATTACCTCTAAGAAGGCCAAAAATCAGTACTGAATTCTGTATCAATACATAAAATGTTCATCCATGCTTATGGGGTGATTAAAAAGCAAAACTGTTCTATCCTGATTCTTGTCTGATAATATACATTCTGATAGCTGATTTTCACTTTGGGAGGCTGGTGAAAGCAAAGGTGTTACTTAAAAACAAATTAATTGCACCAAGTAGAAAGTGTAACAATATTATTTTCATACTACAGGTAACTTGCTATACATATTAATGATCAACATTATTTTTTGTCCAATCACATTGTAGTATTTTTCAAATTTCTGCTTAGTCTAACTTTGGTTAATCCGTACTAACTAAATAAAATTCACTTAATCTGTCGTCTAACCAGTCTAACAAATTTCAATAATGTATTATATAAGGGAGGAGTTAGAGCTGTGGTTTACACTCTGATTTGTAAAATGTGAAGGTTAGCAAAACAATGCCAACATAAAAAAATTAGTCGAGGTCAGGTGTTTCTAAATGTGAGGATACAATCAATTGATTTATTACATAGATAATACATGTTGGGTACGCAGAGACAAATGATTGCATATTAACTTTTTTATATCCTTTTAACTCTAAGAAAAATGTCTGTTATAAATTGCTGAGTGTTTTAAACTTTATATTTTCCAAAACATTATTTTTTTTTTCACTTAATAGGAATGAACTGCATTAACAATCATTGATATTAAGAATACAATGATAACATTTTTTGGCTGCAAAACTCATTGTAAAGGGACCACCTCCACCTGTAAACCTAGATTAACACATGGAAAAACTGTTTTTCAAATGACCAAATCAATAGGGATTTTAAATGTTAGTGAATAACTTAAAGCTAATAACGAATTTGTATAAATTATTAATCTAATGTATTTTTCTCATATTTTCCATTAATTTATAAAGAATGTACACATTTCATTAACTCCATTGTTTTTATCTAATTGCATCCTCGAGATATTCTATAGAGACATGACAGTCTTACTGTAGATAAAGGTATAAATTCTGTGACATTTCAGTAAAAAATGTGCCTGATTATTTGTTGAAAGGGCCATTTATTAGCTTATCTAAATGTGATATGTTAGAAACTTGACAAGGTGTAGACATCTAGTAGAGCGAAAGGGCGGAGCTATCAGTGATTTGGTGAAATGCATTGTTTTTGGTTGAAAAAATAATGTTGATCATTAAATAGGTTAATGTTTAATAATATGCATTAACAAAAATAATTGGTCGCCTGCCTGCGGCAGGCTTGACCAATTATTTTTGTTAGCTCGACTTTTCTATGAAAAGGGGAGCTATCCTACTCGCCTCGGCGTCGGCGTTGGCGTCACACCTTGGTTAAGTTTTTCGTACCACCCCACTTTATTTCAGAAGTATTACAAGTATGGCTTTGAAACTTACCATACTTGTTCACCATCATAACCTCCATCTACAGACAAGAGTACATAACTCTGTCAAGGTTTTTGACAGAATTATGGCCCTTTTTTGACTTAGAAAGTGTATTGAGCTTGGTTAAGTTTTTTGTACCACCTCACTTTATTTCAAAACCATTGGAGGTATTGCTTTGAAACTGACCATACTTGTTTACCATCACGACCTTCATCAACAGACAAGAGGACATAACTCTGTCAAGGTTTTTGACAGAATTATGCCCCTTTTTGACTTAGAAAATACATTGAATATGGGTAAAATCCACTTATTGCCTTAACCCTTTGAGATATTGCTTTGAAACTTTTAATGCTATTTCACATCATTACCCCCATCTGTACGCAAGAGAAGGTAACTCTGTCAAGGATTTGTTTTTAAAAATTAAGGCCTTTTATCGACTTAGAATCTTGGTTAAGTTTTTAGTACCAGTCCACTTTTTGACTGAACTGTTTGAGATATTAATTTGAAAGTTGGAATACTTGTTTACAATCATGATTCCCAAACATGTCCAGGAGAAGGTAATTCTGTCAAAGATTTTATTTGAATTATGGCCCTTAACTGTCAATGTTTTGTATTATAGGCAAGCACTAAAAAACTTAAAAAATCTAAAAAAATTCATTCCTATCCACTTGTTCACTTTACCATAAATTATGTCATATAAACATTGCTGTAATATTCAAGGGTATCAAACAACTAGTTCACTTTAAAAATACAGAGATTCTTGTATTGCCTTTTACTGCAAAAACTTTTTTTATTGGCAAGCAATAAAAAAGTCGAGCGCGCTGTCTTACGGACAGCTCTTGTTAATACATATTATTAAACACTAACCTATACTATAATTAATATAAAACACTAATATATAAAAATTTTCTGTTTTAATGAATGAAAATGTAAAACTTATATATTATACACATTCTTTGTAGATTAGTAAGTAAAGAAATGCCACCATTATTTGTAATGTGGTTGAACTAGTCTGTTGAATTAAAGAATAATTGTAATATTTATAGTACTTTTGTCTTCTATGTGATAAAAATGAGTGCAACACTATGTATGCATTCCATGCGTAATGAGGGTCCCGTGAGCCACAAAAAGCAGCTGTCACCGTTGGATACGGACCCAGGACATGTTACCATTCAAGACCTTACAGGTTTAATGTTGAAGCACAAAATGGTGATAATATACATTTATTCAGTATCATGGAGTATTGGCCAAAGGTATGAATATTGAGCCAAAATAGGCAAATGTATGGCGGTCAATGAGAACCATAATGTACAGTATTCTGACACAATATGAAAAGGGGTAGCCCTGAAAAGGGCTGTTATACAAGCAAAAGGCCAGGCTTTTGCACCGTCACTCTGTGTTAGGGGCTCACTCACCCTAGCTTACTTTTCTCATTATCCTTTCACTCCCCTCCGCAGTCACAACACTGGCAGCAAGCTTAATACAAACATAAAGTTGTAACTCCAAGCTGTAGAGAGCATGGGAACTTGCTGTTTTACGTTACAGTGGATCATCTGCCGGTGCCCTGTGCTTTCACAACGATATGCAAATACCAAGGGGAAGAGAAAAGTGAGTGTACCACTTTTTTTTAATGTGTTTATTTAAGGTCGCCGCCGGAAAGCCCATATGGGCGACCGTACACTCAAGTCGGGCCATCCTAGAGCGTCCCGTCGAGATTTTTTCATCGATTTTTTTTCAGCTATTGGTGGAGGAAGACCCCAGGTGCCCCTTCGTGCATTATTTCAGGCACGAGCGGGCACCTGGGTAGAACCACCGACCTTCTGTAAGCCAGCTGGATGGCTTCCTCACATGAAAGATTTCGACCCCAGTGAGGATCGAACCTACAGCGGTGAGGGACCTGTGATCTCAAGTCAGCAACCTTAACCACTCGGCCAAGGAGGCCCCTATTGTACCACTAACCAATCACACTAAATATAAATGTAGCCTCTATGGCTGAGTAATCAAGGTAATGACCTGCACTTCACAGTGTGGGATATATTAATTACTCTGTCAACGACTTTTGATTATTTTGTAAGTATACAGATTGCTCACAGAGGGTGGTTCTAATATGGTGCTGGCTGTAACCTGACATAAAGCCTGACAGGAAATCTGAGGTTTTCCTAAAGTCATCATATGACTGTAACTGTGTCAGTGTGACTTAAAACTGCCAACCCTATAAAATACAACTGCGATGCCTGCACTAGAGAATCAATTCTATGGCTCATTGGTTCACGTAGCTGTGTTGATTGCGAGCAGATAAAAGATGCTATCCGGAACTCAGCAAATGTGGGTTTTTCCAAGCTAATCTGTAGGTACAAAGACACTTTTAACGTTATAGCTTCACAGTGCACAACCATGAGTCACAATAGATAAGTCAACCTGTTGCACTAATTTTCGAAGCTGTAACCGTAAAAGTTCGTAACTACTGATTAGCTGGGGAAAACCCAAATATTCTTAATTCCGGAGTTAGTCTATTGTGAATTTCAATCCCACAATCCCTGTAATCTAGATCAAGGGAGTATTTTCTATAGGGACAATTTGACACTGCTGGGAGAAAGGTAGCTTCAAAATTCAATTGTTTCAATTTCACATACAGATTTTATTTTCTAATAAATACATATAATTTATACATGTAAACAACTACAATGGCATTTAAACTTTTAATCTCATAATTTAAAAGTATCTATATACAGTGTTTGCACCATGAACATATGAAGGCATAAAAAACAACCACATTAATTCACATGTTTTATATATGTCATAATATTAATAAACCCTGTGTCATATACTAGTAACTGTAACCTATATCTATTAAATATTTGAATGAGCATATAATATCTGTTGAAAATAACATTTTTTTTTTCATTTGCAAATGGTATATCACAGAACATCTGCCAAGCTTTTAGAAAATATTAAATTCTGAAATTTTATAACCTCCATCACTTTAAAGGTAATAACCCCTATGCTTCTAAAGTCTAAATGATAAGCCTTTGCCACCTGTATATAGCCAGACAAGCCTGCACCTCTGTGAAGTCTAACAAGGGGTTCTTCCCTTGGCTGACATTAAAGTTTCATCTTGACATCCCCAAAAATTAATAATAGACAGTTCCATTTATGAAAGTTGGACTAGTCCATTTAAGACATTAAGGAAATAAAGGGTTAAAGAGTCCAATTGTATTTAGGGTTCCCTGGCCATTTATATGGGAAATAAAATGTTTTCTTTTATACACACTCCTTAAGAGATACTTGAGGTACTGATTACAAATTGGGGGATGGGGGTAAAAAATTCCAATATAGGAGTAAATATACATGTATTTGGAAACAATGTCATCTTAACAAAAAACACAATGTAGTTCATACATGTGAAATTTAAAAATGTGGTTCTTTGGATTCAAAAAAGTAAAATCATTACAAACGTATAGCACTGTTTACAGCATAATTTAGAAAGCTTAAAATTTAGCATATTTACAACATTTTTGGCACAACTATATTTCTATACAAGATACTGAAGTTAATCTTAAAATTCATAAAAAAGTTCTCTTTTATTTTTTTCCAATCTCATTATATTTAGATCATAAATTGTTAAGTAATCTCTGTTTATAAAATTATATATATAAAAAATTCCATTTTTTTCCATGCAAGCATTCCTGGAAAGTTTATTTTTACCCCTCTGGGCGTAACCACAATTCCAACACCCAAAGAATTCTATATAATTTCTTTTTGCACAAAATTTCTACTTGTTCAAACATCTTTGCTGACAAGAAATTTGCCAACACATTGATAACTTAATGTGAAAATATGATCCCATGCATAACAGGCATCTTGAGGGATTTTGGGACATAAAAGAATATGGTGTTGAATGAAAGACAAGATCGGATCTAGGATTCTCAACAATATATATATGAATGAGTCAAGCTGAGTTCAAGTTATTACTGGCATTAAGTTCAGTCTGACCAGGCTCTATGTTAGCTGATCAACTTCCAATTTTCATCTTGATATGCCTAAAATTTCTAGAAATAGAAACTGGACAGTCAATTTATGAAATTAAGCAAGATAATGTTAGATCATTACATCAAGCATAATAAATTGTAAAACAGTGCCTTCAAAAATTAGTGCCAGCAAAAACTAAAATAAAAAACTTCATTAAATCCTATAAAAAATTTGGAGACTATAAATTTTTGTAACGTCAGAAATCGTTTCATATATCAAGCTATTCTATAAAAGTGTTAAAAAGCTATGCCATATTGAACAGTCAATATTTTAAGACTTAATTTATATTTTCCTATACTTTGTGGAATCTTTTCCCTTAATAAATATTCATAAAACCTCTGTAAAACCCCTTTTAAATCATGAATATTCAAAGATTTCATACAATCTTTACACCTATTAAATCATGAATATTCAAAGTTCATAATTTCAACACATAAAAATTTGTTCATTTTGATCAATTAAGTTCTTTTGCTCATCAAAAATTGTAAATTACAAATGTATTATAAACTAAAATTCCCTCAATATTTGCCATTTTTAAAATATACTGGCAACAAAAGGGATGTGTAAAATGAAACAGAATCAGTCTAAAACATGATTTTTTAAAAATGCTGCAGTGACAATAATAACTGAAATTATATTCACTTTACTGCTTAAACAACTTTCGTAAGATTAAATAATTCTTACTGAATTGATATTTAAATACATTGTACACATATCTCTAGTCAACGGATGGGTCTCCTCAAGAAAACTTAGATATATGTATTTTATGTAGATTTTTTTCAACTTAACACTATTTTATTTAGAAAATATATTTTTATTTTGTTAGATTTTACGGCTCACTAACACAATTTAAGTAATATGGCGCCAGAACAAATGATGATAAGAAAATATATGATTTATTGTAACGTACAAAGTACATGAATGATATTCCCAGGATATCAGTTTAAAGTCTAGTGACAGACTCGGGGGAAGCAGCAGGGAATCAAACAAGTCATCCCTGGCCGTGTCTTCAACGAGTGTTTCAATCAGATCACACTATCACAGAAATCACACTTTATAAAGAACTTAAATAAATACTGCTTCTTTAAGGAAGTTTATCTTTTTAGAAGACAAAAACAACAACTAAGGTCTACGTTTTATATTGATAAAAAGGTTTTAACTCTATAAAAATATTTTCTAATCAAAAGAGTAAAACTTCAACGTTTTTGGGTCTTATATTATAATACGAGTTAGAATTTTGTTATTGTAAAACATAAATGTGGAGGGACTGTTGCATAAATTTATTAACAGACAGAATGAGCATTGTGAAAATAATATACCCTTTAATAGAAAGGGTGAGGCCATTAAAAAGCATTTTAAAAACCATCCTTTTATCACCTATAGATAAACAATGAAAGACTTCTGGTAACTAAAGTCACAAGTAGAACTCCCGTCGCAGCTATAACAACTGACTGGCCGCACTCTGGCTCAAATACACCATTCCTCCGACAAAGTTAACGCCAGCCGCAATAACAAACACTGGAAACCATCTGCCGTGACTTTGAGTAACAAGTTCAGCCGTTAAAGGCCCGCATAAAATTCCTGGAATAGTTGCCTGAAAAATAAATACAGAATAGTGTAAATACATTGTTACTTTCACTGGCATTAATTTCATTTTATTCACCTGTCAAGTAAATTGCACTTAATAGCATCAATAAGTTTAAATACATGTATCAAGTTAACTGACAGGTTAAAGTTATGTACATGTATTCATCATAGCCCTCATTCTTTTCAATTATGGTAACTTCCGTCCACTAAACAAGAGTTGAAACCACTGATTATCGGGAGCTGTGGCCTAGTTGTTAAGGTGGTTGCCTCTTAACCTATAGATAGTTGATTCAAGCTTTACATATAATATCAAGAAGCGAACTTGAAAGTGATTCAATAAGAGAAAATGTTACTGTTGATAAATGGTAAGTCAATTGTGTTGATATATGACACCTTACCACACTTCAATGGACTTGTCCATCCCTCAATCTGGACAAAACTTAAGAACAAACTTTAATATTATATGTACTGACTGAAGAACATTATCAGACTGCATGGACTTGCTGGCTAATCCTGGTAATCTAGGAAGAATCTGTTAACACCAGCAGGATAAGGGCTACACATAATTATTAAACTTGAAAAAAACGGTTGGCTTTCCAAAATGACCTGAATCATTGAATTTTTTTTTAAACCATAGCAGGTATAATAATGAAACAGGGCATCTTAGTCATGCTTGTGTAGATAAGTTTTTATCTACATTGTAACCGTCTGGATAGCTCAATAGGTAGAGCGTTGGACTGTGAATCGGTTGTCCTGGGTTCGATTCACGGACAGTGCAGATCATTTTTGTTGTAATGGATCATAAAATCCTTTCTATGGTCATTCACACTCTACCTATGCTCTGGCATGTACAAAAGTAATCAGTTCTTTGCAAAAATAAAGGCAACTAGTACTGGTTAACTGTTTGACAGCCCGCCCTGGAACAATGCCGAAACTTAACAGTGCTCTGGCAAATTCAATGTGGCTTACTCAACGATTCAAAGTGAAAACTACCAACACACCAACACCACCACCAATCTACAATGATAATCTGACATAGAAAACTACAAGTGTACATACTAGAGTATTGGAGATAGCGAAGGTGATGCCAGCATGGCTCGGGGCAACCTCCGCGTGATTACTGAGATGTCCTGAAGAATTACAGGCACTCAGCCCAAGGCATATTGTAACAAATCTGAAATAAATAAACCACAGTCATAATCTTAATATATGTAAAACTAATCACATTCAATAAACTATTTAATTTTTCTATAACATTTGTTTTAATTTTTCTCTTTCTATTTGGTTACAAGTCATACAAAAACTGTGAAAGTCATAATTTCTTTTCATAGTGCTTTAGGAAGACCTAAATGCCCCTCCATGCAAAATTTAAAACTTTGAAGGGTACCTATGAAAATTCATTGAAAATTCTATAGTGACCTCCTATTATGTTCTCATATGTGTGAAGTGTGTGAAGTTCTCTTCAATAGTTTTTGGAGTTACCAATTTGCATGCAAAAACTTAACCAAAGTGTGATACAGATGCAAACTTCTTTGAATAGATGATGTTAAAAACAAGATTAAGTCTTCATGAATGTAAATGAGACAAGATTTTGGCTTACATCCTATACAATCAGAACAAAATTATATTAACTCTTATAGTACTTGACTGAAACAGGTTATGTATGTATACACTGACATACATGTACATACATGTGATTAAGTAAACTTTGCGTAGCATGTCACTCTATTGTGTCAAGTATTCCAAATCTGTTGATACAAATGAGCCATGTCATGACAAAACCAACATAGTGGGTTTGCGACCAGCATGGATCCAGACCAGCCTGCGCAAAACCTATCGCAATCTGAACAAGATCCATACTGTTATACAGTACTTTAAAAACAGGTTTTGTAAGCGGAAAACAAGCAGGAACTTTGATAGACTGCACACGATTGTGTTTTAATCTGACGTGGTCAAATTTTTATTTTTTGGTTAACTTACAACACAGCTAAAGGTAAATTATTGACAGCACTAAAGAAGAGAATAAATATTCCGGGACCCATCAGTCCAATACTTGTCATCAACCGTCGCACAGATAATACTGTCCACTTCTGTGTGGTGATGAGAGAATCAGCCCAATGTCCCGCAACTGAAAATTACAATATTACTTATCTATTAAAACAAGCTTTCACGCTTCAATATTACACCAATACATTCAAACCAGGGCTGAGGGTTATATAGAAATTTTCTTATCTTTAACTCATGACTGGCATAAACTTGCACCAAATTTAAAACAACAAATGAGATTCCAAAATCTTAAAGACTATCTGCCTTTTAGATATTGCATCACGTGATGCTTAGGGAACAAGTTAACTATTTTAAAGTAAATAGCTTTAATAGTTTCTGAAAAATTGACATTGATTACCTATTTAAAGCTCACAAAAACCTTTGACCTTTTGACTTCAAAATGAGCCTGACAAGTAAAACTCGCCAAAGTGTATCCACATATGAAGTTTCAATGTTATAGCTTTATTAGTGTTGAAGTTAATGACCGTAACTGAAGACTTAATCATAAAAGATTATTCATTACTGGTGCCGACAGGTCATGACAATACCTCACACTTTTTTTCATCAAAATGATTTTAAGGCTGCTTGTTGTAGTTGGCATTCTTAAAAAACAAAAACCTTAACTTTGTTGTAAATACATAGAATTTTATCAAACCATAGCAGAATGATTTATTTTAGATGTTAGATTGATCAAGTATGGTATTACACTCAGAGGCATTTATAACCCGACACTTACATTTTTTCGGTATAACTTGGTTATTTGTGAACGGATTTTGTTCAGTTTTTGAGCATACAAAATTCAACATATCATACTTATTTCCTAGAATTTTATTTCCAATTCATTAACATGAAAATAGAAAAGTAACAAAACAAATATGTTACTGCAAAATGAAAAATCACAAAATGACTGTAAATATCGTAACACAATGAAAAGTCTCTAAGTCCAACTGATTCTGTATAATAACCAGTTCTAATACTTCCTGTGTCATCCCATGGCTATAGCAAAGTGTAAAAACCTGTCTCATGGTTGTGACGTAGTGATGTTTTGGGGAATATTCTCCATTCCTGAATTAGGGCTTCCTCGAGTTCCAGCAACTCCTGCATTCCAAGTTGCCGGGTCTAAACATCACACTTGTCGGCTGAATTGAACAGGTGTGTGAGAAAGCGGGCAAAAGCTTCTTGCAATTTGCTGAAACACTAGCAAGCCCTTATTTAGGAATAGGGAACTGTGTGGCAGAGCTGTGTTCTTTGTTATAGCCAATTGGGAGGACATACAAAGTGTAAGAACTGGTAAACATACAGATTTAATGGGATTCAGAGACCGTTCATTGTGTTATGATTTTTACAGTCATTCTGTGATTTTTCATTTTACAGTAGCCTATTTGTTTTGGTTCTATTTCTATGTTCTTATCGATGAATTGTAAATATAATTCCAAGTAGGAAGAATGATGTTGAATTTTGTTTAGTCTAAATTTGAACAAAATCCGTTCACAAATAACCTATTTATACAGAAAAATGTCAGTGTTGGGTTATAAGTGCCTCTGAGTGTACATCCTATACAAAATGACACAACTTACCTACTCCCACTAAAGAATTCATTAGATAAGGCACTGCAGTTAACATGATATGTGTTTTACCGGCTCCCAGCGACCGAGTAAGGTACGTCGGTAACCAATGCATGATGATGTAGTTAGACCAATTCATGGAAAAATGTGCAATATAAATAGACCATAGTGGCCAGTGACTGATGAATTCTCTCCAGTTAACATTGTTATTATTTACCTGAAACAATAATAAAAGAATTCATCACATGACGTTGTTTTCACTGTACATTTCATATATATTTGTATTACGAACAGTTAAAGACATACAGAAGTGTAACTTTTTACAAAGGCAAAGAAGGAATATCTTAACTATAGTGCAGGGAACTTTAAGTTAAACTTAGCATGATTAAAGGGAATCATAACTGAAACAAATTGATGAAAAAAACCCTGGGGGTAACTTTCCTACTTTTCTTAGTTATCTGCCCCTGAAAGTGAATTTCTGGCTCGTTTAGGGCATTTTCAAGAGCATGTAAGTACTAGATGCCAGTAATGTAAAATAACGATATAAAAATTGAGATGTAATTAAATTCGATGCTTTATTGCTGCCTAGGATATGTAAAAGAAATAACATTTTCTATATTAATTATTTTTTGAACATTTATTATTGACCGTGGATTTATACCTAGGCACTGTAACCTCAAATACAAACTTCAAAATTCTTCATTCATAATACTACAGAACATTCAAGTCAAACAAATAAAAAGTGGTAATAATTCCATTTGAGACATTTGTTAGCATTGTCTGTTTATTTTCTTAAATGTATCTACACTTAAAAGTTTAATTGGTGTATTTTCATTTCAAAATTGTGTCTAGCTTTCATCCTGGAATAATTCCATATCAGATTGACAGCAAATGCAGTCATATCAATGTATATAGTCCCTCTTTCTATTAACGTATTGATATGTACACAAAAACAGTACTTACTTTAGGTGGCTCTACAAATTCCTCATCAATGGACCCCCTCGGCTCTTTATAAATATACAACCAGAAAAACACCCAAATAAAACCAATAGAGCCAAATGAATAAAACATCCATCTCCAACTAAGATGAGGACATATCTACAAATATAAACATGCATCTTACATGAAAACAAATCTTAATCTAATATTTTCAATGATATCAATGAAAAAAAATTTTTTTTTTGTTCATTAAATTTTTTATTTCTTTCATTATGTTTCATACAAACATTTAAAGATCTTGTAACACAAATTTTTTTATGGTTTTTATCATAAATATGATGCTCAAATTAAGATTTATCAATTTGTATGTTCCAAAAAGCATTATTTATAAAGATATTACCGAATTTAACATTTCATGTAAATAAAGGGAGGTAATGAAAAATTTATTTTCTATGAAGTCGAAGTCAAATTTTTCAATAAGAAATGAATGCATATATTTTAATGATTACATATAATATGTACATATATTTGCAGGACATATTTAACATACTCTTCGATGTTTGAAAATTGTTTTATCAGCATAATTATATACATATATAATATAATTTCACCTAAGTGTGGTATACAACCTCAATTACAACATACAGGATCTTTAATGCACTCAATAACTCTATGCCAAATTTCAGTCTTTCTAACTTTTATACATGAAAACTGCAACAGGACACAGGTACATGTAGATACATTATTTTAAATAATAAATGGATGTATAATCCATTAAAACTTCTCTTGTGTTTCAGATAAAAAATTTACAATACTAATAAGAAGTCATGCCTGTCATGTATGAATTAATGAGTATCAAGATAGATTTTCTTTTGATGGGTGTTCTTTGTTTGGAAGTGGCCTGTAATACTAGTTTGGTTTTAACATTGATTGAAAAACTAATTCTTGCAACTAATTCTTGCACTTTCGAGTCCGCTTCCTGGAACTAACCAGTACTGGTGTCATATGAAGTAACATGGCCGTGACCCCTAGTAGGGCTCGAATCCATAATCTCTAGGTTGAGAGTCAGACACCTTAACCACTAAGCCACCACTCACCTAACTAGTTTGACAGTACGTTTTGATTTTCAACAATTCTAATCTTATCTAACATTACAATTCATATCTTATCATTTATGTGTTCTAGTTCGATTGCATTGTATTTTTTCAATATAAAGATTGTCTTTACTCATATCTTTGGCAGATTGTTTTATAGTGTCTAATCATATGCTTATGCAGTTACAATAACCGTGTATTATCTTGCAAGGTCACCAAAATATAATCTCAACTTACCACAGATGCTACAGTCTGACCAATGGAACCAAAGGCCACCAAATAACCAAACGCTCTTGATCGTTCTTCACTCGGAATGCCATGAGAAAATATATGAAACACTGTTGGTAAACCTGGAAAAAAGAGCAATTTAAACAGTATATTTACAATTTTTGATTACCATCAAATTTTAAAAGAACTCCACTGAGGTCCGAAAGCCTAATAAAATAAAATGTAAAGTAACTTGCAACCTTCAACTGGGGCAATGAAATGGAAAAATAACAGATTATAAAGAAAACTCAATTCAATTGAACATTGATACATAAGCGTGACTTTTTGCATGATTTGAGTTAAATGCGTTTCAGGGCTTTCTGTTCTAGAGTAATTTAACACAATAAAATTGTTTATTCTGGTAAAAACTTATTGAGCAAATGATCTAAAATTTGCACTCTTTTCATGCTAAAGAAAACTTTTCATGCAAGAAAACTAGACAATTATATTTTTTTAACATTTTAGGCGTCAGTTGAACCTAAACATTATCTTCTAACTTATGTGTGGAACTTTCTGAAAAATTGAGTGTAAACACATTTTTGGATAACGAAAGAAATTACCTAATCCTTCTCCTAGACCAAGTATTACTCGAGCCAAAGTCAGAGAGTATATTGAGTGAGCAAACAATGGCACAAGAAATGTTGACAGGGACCAAAGTAACACTGAAATTGTTAAAACGTTTTTCCCTCCATATTTTTTTGTTGCACTGGCACCAATCACCTGCAAGGAAAATGTAACTGAAGTCATTTTAGTATATTTTTTCCTGTGATAAAGAAAAGGAAAATATAATTAGATTGCTACTTTTCACGATGAGTAATTTAATTAACTTTTGATTTCTTGACCAAAAAGAAAGTATAATGATGTCACAGAGGGATGCCTATGGAACATTTCTGACAAAATATACACATTGTCAAAGAACAAAAAAGATGTGGAAACAAATATTTTTAGCTTCATTGACCTTGACACCATTGACCTTAAAACTTCACCAGAGAAACTTAAAACAGCAGAAGACAACATATGAGCCATGTTATGTGTTTGCAAACAGCATGGATCCTGACCAGCCTGCGCATCCGTGCAGTCTGATCAGGATCCATGCTGTTCGCTATCAGTTTCTCTACATGTAATAGGGTTTGTAAGCGAACAGCATGGATCCTGATCAGACTGTGCGGATGGGCAGGCTGGTCTGGATCGATGCTGGTCGCAAACGCATTATGTTGGTTTTGTTGTGACGCGGCTCATATCTATAAGGTACATATAGTGCAACCTCTTTAATGGTACATGTTTTAGGAGACAAAGAATTTAGATGTTGCTGTAAAGAGGTAAAATTTACGATGAATTGTTACTTTAACAAGACATGATACTGTTGTTTTAAAGAGGTAATTGTTCTACAGAAGGTTGCACTGCAAAAATAGCATTGTTTTTTTATCAAATGTCTTAAGATATTAATTAATAAATAGGGGCTCTAAGAGAAATGTTTCGTGTGATGAAAAGAAAAAAAAACAAAGGAATGATGGATGAAAAAAAGGAACAAACCGCCTACAATATACTCCCAACCAAATTATCTGAGCCCAAAAGATAAAATAATTATGCAAAAAGCATTTAGATGCTTATTTTAACCATCCAATGGAAAAAAAAACCCCAGAGCAAATCAGAACCAGCTAAATTGCCTTTGAGTTTCAATAATATTTCATATATTAAACTTTCTTTTAAACTTAAGACAGATCGACTAACCAATCTGACAAAGTTTTTCCCCCCAATCCAGTAGTTACCTGACTGCTTATATATCCAACAGCAAAAGAACTGAGCACCCATCCCTGACCATGCATGTCCCAATTAAACTCATCTGTCATGGGGACAATGGCTATAGGCATGATAACTCTGTCGGCAGCATTGATGAAGTTTGCCATTGAACACAGCCATAATGTATGAGATGGTTTATTCAACATTTTGCCAATCTAGATTAATACATGTGCTGACATTAGTTTAAGATCCTGCATCTTGTAAAAGGAACACTGAAATTAAAACAAACAAACTTTCAATAAAAAATTAGATTTATGCTAAATAATGTCAAAATTGAATTAAGCATTTAAAATTTAAAACTAGGCTTTTACTTCTCAGACTTTAAAACTAGTTACTTTTGTTAACAGATGATATAATAAATCTTCTACAGCATAAATAGGCATGTCTGTCTCTATCAGGGCAGGGCCAAAAAATTCTTCTTTGTAGTGGCCGAATATAGGCTGCTTCCCCAACCAAACTACTCTCTTTTTTTCCCCAGTTTGGTCCTCAAAATTCCCCAGGCTTTTGAAATTTCCCATAGAATTTAGAACAAAATTAAATGTTGGTGATGAATTAAGGTCTTTTATTGCCTTATTAGTATTTCCCAGTGCTTTTTTGCTTTTCTATTTTGAAGAACTTGTTAAAAGTTTGTGTTAAATTTGAGACCCCTTTTCCCCAAAGTATGCCAAAATCATAGTAAAATACCGGTTTTCCAAAAATCGTACCACGGTACGAAATTTATTTTTATATATTGCAATATATCGGTATACCGGTAAACCGTTACACCCTTACAAAATCACCCATATTTTCCCCAAGAAAAAGGCTGAGGCTCCTTCCCCAAAAATGGTGTTTTGGCCCTGCAGGTTTACCGCTGTCGTTCGCAAATGGCACCAAAGGCGACAACATATCAATTCTGGCACATAAAATCTTTAATTGATTTTAATTTAAAATTTAATTTTATTATAATTTAATTTTACTGGCGTCAACGTAAGATAAAAATATCCGACAACTAGAACACTTAAAAGTCAAGAAGCCGCCGTTTTAATTACTTAAGTGGCCCAGATGTGAAAGGTCACAAATGATTAATTTGTTTATCAAACTGTTATCATCAATTTTGTGACACTTCGGGAACATGTCAAGATGGAAGTGTCAATAAGTTAATTGGAACAATTTACATCTTTAATCCCCAGACTGAGAGCACTGTTAACTAGAAGGGTTTTTGTCACAAAAACATATGTCTCTCAAAACTATGTATGGTCACTCATGTGAAGTTTCATTGAATTCCTGTGAATTTTGGTGGAAATGCCGCCAGCAGTTTGACCCGTGTTAGCCGGACAGGATTTTTCTATTTATTTTAGCTCTGGCAGCCATTTTGTGCAGCAAAGCCGAACATGCCAGTGATATGCACAACTAGGGATGGTACTGATCATTCCTGTAAAATTTGGTTGAAATCCAACCTTTAGTTTGCCTGTGAAGGCTGGACAAGCTTAATGCTGATGAACGGACAACCAGTAATAATGCGGCTACTCTATTGTTCTTTTTAGCCACACATAAGAAAATAGCCACATAAAAGCATTACGGAATGAATGACATCAAAGAGAAAGAAGAGTTACCTATTGTCACTCTAGCCATATTATTACTGTTGTGTTAGAGCGGACGGCCAGACAGACGGCAAAGGCAAAAACAATATGTCTCCCAAAAATTTTAGGAAACATGTGTAATTATGTCTCCTAAAATTTTTGGGTGACAATCTGGAATCACCTTAATTTGCAACACCATTTTCAGTTTTTTTTATCTTAATTATTTTCCCATTCTGCCTGATCATATAAAAATTTTGCTATTCTTTTATGAACACTAGTCCTAATCATAAGACCTATACGTAACCTATTTCATATTTATCATTCATTAATCTGATATTTTACATTTTTCATTTTCCATGTTACGTTAGGTCTTAACAGATCTTTGCAAAATCGTGTAGCAAAAAAATTGACATTAGACATCGATTTAGATCTAATGAATTTAAACAATTAAAACAGCGTGTATTTACATTAATTTTGACCTATTTATGAACAAAACTAAAAAATAAATACCTTTAAACAAAATAATTGAACTGTCACAACCGAAAAGTCATGATTAAATCCTCTCATTTAATTAAATTCTTTGTACAGCTGATAAACAAATGGCCGCCATACAGTGCGCGAAATCTGATTGGCTAATTTAAATGCAAGCGTTTAAATGAGTCCAGAAGTTTCTAACGGAATATTTTTTCAACGAAATAATTGACCATGCACCGTCAGTGTGTTCAAATATATTTTTCCGTTCAAAAAATTGGAATCAATCTGTAAAACGCTTTACTTAACCAGTATGGCCGATGAGCGAAATAGACTGATATTTATATTTTATTTTTAATTGATAAGTACATTGTTTTAAAGTTTTTGTTAATGATAGACCATGCAATTGAAAGAACAGAAGATAAGCTTTTGAATAAAGCTTGAAAGGCAAGTCAACAGACATTTTTTTAATTTTTCAAAATGCTACGCGTTTTTGAGCAATAACTATTAGACGTAAAGGCTTGACCAACATAAAACTATAACAAGCCTGTAACGTCTAATCTATTGGACTATTATGAACACTATTGAAACAATGCTTTTTTGAACACTGTTGAAACCAACAATGTTAAAGTATTAAACTTTGAATTAATACATGTGTAAGGTTAGGTATGAAAATTCCCCTGAAAATAACTATGTTTTTGTGTTCTTAGGTAACGCTAAAGCTGTCATAACTTTTCCTCCATAACTTTTTATTGACAGTTCTAACACAGTCAGTCACTTGACAACTGATTTACGTACTGATGTAAACAAACATATGAAACTATACGTACAAAAAAATGAAGCAGAACAGAACTATATCATAAATGAAAGTTATATCAAACAAAAATATCAAATAAATGTCAAAATATGTCAGTTGTCACGACGTGGCAGAAAAACTTGCATTTTATGCTTACATCATTGTAAAATAATTTAGTAATGAATTAATAAAAATAAACTATTTTTAACTCAAAAATTACAAAAAAATAATACAAAGAAAATCTCTCGCACCCGCATAAGGATATTGTTGTTAATATTCTTTTTTTATAAATAATTTATTGTTTTATGAATTGATGTAAGCATATCTCGTACCATAAATTGTCGTACGTATCATTTCGGCCCAATAAATATCGACACAGACTTATAATAATTCAGCTCTGTAATATCGAGGCTCAAATCAATTTCGAGAAGTTGCAAATGTGTTATTTTCTGCAATTAGGCCTAGTACTAGCTGCTTATTCAAAGACCCTAGTTTTGTGCGCCATATTTCCCCTTTGCTCTATTCTTTTTAGATACCCAGCTAAACCCATAAATTTTATGAGCAAAGCAAGATAACATTATGATGACAATGAAATTAAGCCAAATACAAAACAATACTCAAATACTAAACGATACTTGAAAATGTTAAAATAATGAGTTGGTTTAATGAGTGAAGATATTTCAGATGCTTTAAATAGAATCTACTTTTTTATTATTTCAGATGGAAATGTACGTGCCGCGAGTATACATTTATTTCATAGTAACGAGCAAGACTTTCTTCAAACGCGTATTGTTATAAACGCAGAAAGATAGTTCAATAGGATTAGCAACAAACCGACTTAGGTGAACAAGTTTTTAAGAATACATTTTTAAGCAAATATATGAGTATGCTCGGTAATAAAATTTATCGGGCTCTGACCTCTGGATAAAATACACTAAAAGTAAAGTATTGATTGCAATGATAAAAAAGGAACTCTTTTTATTTTTAAATTTGTGTACTATATAGTTTTGTTAACCGCGGATCGATGTTATATAACCTTTAGAATGTCAAAGAAATGTTTCTTAATCAATCTTGAATGAGCTGCTTGTGCTCACTTTATTTAATATTTTATAAGTCAGTTTCGTATTTTTCAATAGTATGTTTTTCAATCTGAGCGAAAGGAAGATATCTCAACTTGTATATGAAAATCATGCAAATAAATGAGGTATAAATCATTATAATGATTATTTTTTAAAATAAATATTATTAATATCACAGGGTCATTTGTCATTATACACCGATGGTGTCTCACTATATTAATGCCAAAGGTACAAAAAGTAAACTTTTCAAAGGAAGGAAAAGTGGTTTTCATGATAAATCAGAAAAATACAAACAACTTTTTGTTGCTAATTAACATCTTATATAGTAACTATTCAATGTATGATCTCAATGTAAAAGTGATATCTTCTCTTTTGCCAAACAAAAGCAGTTTAGACATTTTATAAAACGTAGGTGCAGCTTCGGCATTATAAAATGCATTACAAATTTCCGAAATTCATTTTGCATCAGAAAAATGAAGCTTCGGGTTTTTACTTTATAACTAACATAATTTAAACACTTTTTTGCTGTTTAGACTTAATATTGAATGTTATATCCTACAATTGAATTCTTAAAATATATGTATATATAAAGTCAGTATTTTATTAAAAGATCACAAAAGATCTGTAATAATAACATTGTCAGAAATTGTGAACCATAGATACAATTATAAATTGATATTTTCTTATTCATTCCTTTTTTTGCCCCGCGGCATATAGTAATTTAACCGTACGTCTGTCTGTCCGTCCGCCTGTTCATATGAGGTTAACTAACCTAAAACGGCAATTTGGATTTTTTTTCAGTTCTACCTGTACCAATGGCTTCACAATTTACACACTTACTAATCAATACAAAATACATGATCGGGCAAGTTACATAACTATGGCTTCATTTTTTTTATCAAGTTATTGTCCTTTTAAGCATTCTGAAAATGGATATTCATGTTAACCTAAAACGGCAAGTTTGATATATCTGAAGTTCTATCTATAATAATGGCTTCATATTTTCAGCACTTACCTTTACAAAGTTTCATGATATTATCAAGTTATATAAATGTGTCATTCATTTTCCCAAGTTATTTCCCTTCTTACCACTTTGAAAATAGGACCTTATTTGTCAGCCTTTGCCAGCAAGTTGGATTTATCTTAAATTTCTCCTAATTACTTAATTAAAAAAAATAATAACTTTCATATTAGAAAGGTGAATATATTCAATGGTTCTATGGCTTTTTTTGATGAGTTTAAAGCAATAACTAGGGTCAAGGTTACAGGTGTAAATAATCCAAGTTTAATTTGGACAAGCCTAAGGAGGTCCTCTTCCTCCGTTTTAAGTTAGGGGTCATTTGGGTCAAAGTTACCAATGCCAAAATATATTTTAACACTTTTACATTTAAAACCTTTTTCTATTGGCAGGTGTCATTTATATTTGCTAAGAACATAAATTGAGAAGTCTTCTTCCTTTAGATTAAGTTGGGGTCAGTTGGGCTAAGGTCAAATGTTAAAAATGGATTTTTACACGTTTGCCAATAAAGCCTTTATTTATTGATAGATGTCTTCTATATTTGATTAAAATATAACTTGCATGGTCTCCTTCCTTTGGATTGAGTTAGGGGTCATTGGGTCAAGGTCAACAGTGCTTATTACAGATTTCCACTAATTTGCTGATACAAACTTTATTCAATGACTGGTGTTTTACATATAAGGTAGGATGATAACTTGCGTGGTCTTCTTTCTTTTGATTGAGTTAGAGGTCAGTTGGGTCAGGGTCAACATTGCTAAAACTGGATTTTTACACTTTTGCCCATACCGTTTTTATTTATTAATATGAGTTTTTCATATTTGGTAGGTTAACAATTTGTATGGTCTTCTTCCTTTGGATTGAGTAAGCGGTCAATTGGGTCAATGTCAGCACTTCTAAAATTAGATTTTTTTATTGCTATGTTCGTACAGTCTTTATTTATTGATAGATGTCTTTAATATTTGGTAGGAAGATAGCTTGCTCGGTCTTCTTCCTTAGGATCAGTGAAAGTTCAGGGGTATCTGAAGTAGATTTCAATTTTTGTTTATACAACTTTTATTTATTGATGATATTTTTTATAGTTGGAAGGTCATTACCTTGGATGGTCCTGTGTTGAGTGTCACAAAGTCAAGGGCACCATTTAAGAAAAAATCTTATTTAGCCTTTGTTTTTTTTACCTATGTCCCATATCTATATTGAACATACCTCAGTTGGTATTTTAAGTTTGGGTGGAGTTTTGTGTCACTTTGCTCAAGGTCAAGATCCAATCTCATTAAAATCAGATCATCGTTTTCGCTCCGTTACTTTTCGAGCGTAGAGTAGTGAAGCGACAGTTAGGATATGATTTTAATGAGATTGCAGCTTGGGATTTCTACCCAGGTGTCTGTGATCAAGGTCAAGGTCGGGGTTATTAAAAATAGAAATTCAGTTTCTGCTCAATAACATTAGTTTGTTAAGGCCTAATAACACCAAACTTGGTGTATGGGTAGCCTATATCAAGATGCAGCTTGGGATTGCTATCCTGGTGTCTGTGATCAAGGTCAAAGTCACTGTTGCTATAAATAGAAATTCAGTTTCTGCTCAATTACAAGTTTGCTTAGGCGTATTGACACCAACCTTGGTGTATGGGTAGCTTATATCAAGACGCAGCTTGGAATCGCTACCCAGGTGACTGTAATCAAGGTCAAGGTCACTGTTGCTAAAAATAAAAATTCAGTTTCTGCTCAATATATGAGTTTGATTTTAAGGCCTATTGACACTTGACTTGTTATATGGGTAGCCTATATCAAGAGGCAGCTTGGGATTGCTACCCTGGTGTTTGTGATCAAGGTCAAGGTCACTGTTGCTAAAATTAGAAATTCTGTTTCTGTTCAATAACATTAGTTTGCCTAGGCCTATTGACACCAAATTTGTTGTATGGGTAGCTTATATCAAGAGGCAGCTTGGGATTGCTACCCAGGTCTCTGTGAACAAGGTCAATGTCACTTTTCTTTAAAAAGAAAAAAAGAAGTTAAGTTTCCACGTAATAACTTCAGTTTGTTTTGACCTATTGACACCAAACTTGCGGTGTGGGCAGCTTATAATAATATGCAGCTTGGGATTGCTACTTAGATATTTGGGAGCAAGGTCAAGGTCACTTGTTTACAATATAATTTTCAGCTTCTACTCAATAACTTCAGTACACTTTGACCTTTGATACTTAACTTGACATGTGTGTAGCTTACATGAAAATACAGCCTAGCATTGATACTCAGGTATCTAGTATATTTTTATTTTAAACTAAACTAATGAAACGAATTTTCTGTGTAGGTACAGATAACAGTATCATATTTTCTTCACTGCCATATTTCATTCTTAATATCTGTCACATAAATACTTGGTGGTTGAAAACCTGATTTTCGTCTCATTGCAGTGCTTCTTGTGTGGCTTTGAAATAGTGATAACAAGTATACAAATGTATTCCTGTTGACACATACACAGGAGTTATTTTATTATATTTCTTTAATGAATTCATTGTTACTGGCATGTGCAGATTTAGAATTGATCATACTTTTGCACTGAAAGTCCAGATTCATACCTCAATCTTTGAAAAAGCACAATTTGGTGTTTCATGTAAAATTCCTCTAAGGCGGGGGGCATTGGTAACTCTGTTACAGATTCTTGTCGGCATTTTCTTGGATCAGTATATGGCTTTTTAAACAGTAAATAATATATTTTTATTATATTATCTGTTATGAAAATCACTGCATATAAACAGAAGTTTTATGTAGATTCTTCTTTTTTACTTTG